CGCTCCATTCAGACACCGATAATAAGAGAAACAGTAAATAAATGACAATATTTATATGAACCATTTCCAATGATTAACATATCGAAAATAATATTCCACTTTTACTTGTTATTGCTCTCTTAATGAACCTTTTTTTCAGCTAACATTGTGCACTGAATCGTTGATTAATATCGAAATGAAATTCGGATATATATTGAATGGAAAACTCACGTTGAATTTTACATTGGTCCTATAATAAGACTCCTATTTGAATAGGGATTCATATTTATTTACCTTGTTTTTTTTTTCAAGAATGAATAGCACATGGAAAGGTATGATGGTGTGTGTCTTGATAAAGTGTTTCCAGGACATAGATATATAGACACGTATTTTTTGGTCTCCATTGAATAATTAATGTATTCATTTCACTTTCGGTAAAATGTCTATAATTCATTTGAGGGAGAAATAAGTAAGCTACATTGAAAGCGCTCTCGACTCGCCACTGTCACATTACCTACAAATACGTACAAATTCGTGTATTTGAAGCATAATTGCTTAAAATGCATATTCTACTCCCGTGCTCAATTACGGAATCGAAACCCGTATTTAGTGCGGGTATATAATGGTGTCTAAAGGTGGAGTTTGAACCAATCAGAAATAAATTGCGTTTTTTGAGCATTTCTGGATGATTGAATTATTCCCACATTTTAAATAATCGGTCGAAAGAATGAATAAAAATTAATACCTAAATGTGTTTTTGCCAAAAAAAAAAAATGCCATTTGTTTGTTTTTCTCTGCACCTCGCGTCTCTTTTTTGAATGTGTCAGAGTTATGCTATCATTTTGCGTCTTAATATCAGTTTCGTTGAAAATGCCATTTGCACTAAATAGCATTTAATAAATAAACAATTTATTCTTTATTTTATTATTAATTTGTATTGCTGTCTCTCTCTATCTTTCTCTCTGCCTTTAAATCTTGTCAATGCATACATAAACCAAAAAAAGCTATCAAAACTCCAAATATTAAAAGGCAACAATTTTGTGACCGTATTTATCGGCAGCGCGATTGTTTGTGATGCATTTTAAATCAGTATTATGCCATTTCTTTTTAGTGAAATCGTTTTATTCGCCTTTATTTTGACTTTTCACGAATGGTTTTTTTCTCGATTGTTTTTATTTGTTGGTGCATTCAATACCAATATAATCCCTATAAGCTCTTTTTATTTAGTATAAATTGTGGCCGGTTTGCCGCCTTTGTTTTTATTTATATTACTGTTTGGCAAAATGCGTTCTGTTGTTGCTTTTTTTTTAATCAGTTCAAAATATATTTAAAATATATTGACTAATTAAATTGCACTTAAATGTCTGCTATAATCTGCTCAACATTTTTTTTTCTTTATTGGTAAAGAGCAATAATATTGCGACAATTTCTGTTCACACCAAAATGAACTTAATGTGCTCGTCATTTTTCTGATCGCAGTGACTTTCAGTCCTTAGCAAAAAAAAAAACATTTATTTAAAAGTAAAAAATCACGTTTTCGAGTAAACATAAATATCGCATTCATTTTTATGTTTTGGTATTCAGATTAATTATTGTGGTTTAAAAGGTATAATTTGAATTGTTGCCAAAAAGAAAAAAAATCGAAGTAAAACAACAAAAAAAGCAAGTATTTAATATCTCTTTGGCAAATTGCACACAATGTGCTAAGTCAAAACTAGAGTAAACTTTTAAAACTGTCAAATGAGTGTCAGAATTTCATGCAGACCCATTTTAAACATATGTTCATTGTGTGTGTCACATTGAAAATGAGTCACAACGTTCTTTTTTTTTTGTTCACTATCATTCCAGAACACTTTTCGACCAAATGGTAATGTCCACCATACGTGTCCAAAATGGAATTCAAATGAACGAAAAAGAAATGGAAAACCAACAACAACACAGACGATGACCGAACGGAACATTTTATTAATTTGCGAGAAACCAAATAGACCGATAACGTCGACATAAAAAGAAACAGTGCCTTCATTCGTCGCCTCAGTCATATAGAAGCACATACACATATATCAGAACGAAGCGTGAACGAGACACCGCATATATGCAGCCCAACGAAAATGAATGAATAATATAAATGTTTTAACATAAGCAATAATATTCTAAAAGCTTTTAAGATAAGCACACACATCTTTTTAAAATGTTAATGAGTAAATCAAAGATTAAAATTAAAACATACTTTATTGTTGGTCACTCTAAGCAAACGTGCAAAACCATACTTGTTCATATCAAAGTGGCTATTTCGTTTATGGCCCAAACCATTTTCAGCGCACAAGATGAGTTTTGCATAAGCGAATCACGCTCGTACACACCTCACAGCTGTGAGCGATGATTGTGCACCACAAATAATGCAACTTCAACGGATTTTCTATTTCAGTGTGCGTGTGCGCAAGCCCATTTGAATGATTACACAATGAATACATTGTTGTGACCAGCAATTCAACTATTTTCAATGCTCATCATTAACATTAAGATCATTAAATTGTAAATTATGACCAAATTATTTTATGACTGTCTTCAGAATTAATTTTCACGATTCATAAAATTGTCTATTCAAAAGCAGAGTGTAAACATTTAAATGTTTATGTTTACCACGATTCGCATTAATCGACATATATAAAAAAAATTGTTAGTGCAATGGCTTGTCATATTTATTTTTTTTAAACCAGTTGATGTGCTATTTGAATTAAAAGAATGATAGAAAGAGAACGACAGAAAAAGTGGGAGAGATAGAGATAGAGAGAGAGAGAAAGAAACACGCCGCCAAAAGCATATTTAACGTAAATACCAATTAAAATGTCATCGAAAATGATACCGAACTCAAATGAATAGTCAAAGAATGTGGCATTCAATGCGAAAACGTCAACCAAAAACGTCAACCAAAAACGTCAATCTGTTACTGTTCACCGTTTATCTTTCGCTACCAATTCATTTGCTCTGCCCCATTCTTTCGTTTAAAGTTGCATTTTCTCTCTGTCTCTCTCATTCGACCATTTAACGGCCCAGTTCCAGACGGCAAGAATTTTAATTCATTTTGCTTAAGTTAAGTGTTATTTATATACAATACGTACGCATACGTCTCTTTTTTTTCGTTCATCAGAAAGCGTGCTCTTATCTTATCGCCGGTTAGCTTGCAATTACTTACCGCGTGCTGAACTTAATGCATCCTAATATGCGCCACATTTAATTTGACATCAAAGTTCTGACTAACTTATGGATCGTATTAAAATTTGTACCTTAATTCTCATTGCCTATTGCCGCTTTTATAACGGTTTTAAGAGCGCGATTTTTACTTTTATCTCTTCTCCCCTCTCTCTATGTGTGTTGTTCATTTTTTTTTTAAATGTGGTCGATTTGCATGGACAATGTTAAAAATGTATGGTTTTGAGTGGGTTTAATTGATCTTATTCAAATGAATGCACTTCATTTCAAAATACAGAAGCGATAGTCGCGGTCTAGGTCTCTCTTTTTTTATTCTTGGGTGGTCACATATCGTTGTTAATTTATTATGGCGTATTTTATGCAAATTAATTGAGTTGCGCAATTCCACCTATATTCTTATCGATTCATGACATTATTGCAATGTTGATGTAAACACTTGGCATTCTTCGAATTTTCGTTTGAAGTTTGTTTGTCCCCGATCATTTTGAATTATATGCAATTTTAAATTATAAATTTTTACCAAAAATGTCATGTCTTTAAAATTAAATCCATTGAAACAAAAAAAAAACCTATACTAAATTTATAAATTTGTCAGAACTTTTCAAAATAATTTTTGAAAAACTGTATTGTTTGATACTAAAAAGAAAAAATGTTCAAGGACACTTTAAATATTGAAAATATGGAATATTTAAAATGCCAATCATTCTACCATATCGCTTGAAAACACTTTAGATTTCATGTGAAAATATGGTTACATAACTGTTGAATTTTAATGACGAAATTAAGTCACAAAAAAAAAATGGTGACATTTTTCATGTTCGTGATTAAAATAAGTGAAATTGAGTTTTTGATCGAATGGTTTTGGGTCATAATGTAAATAAAAAAAAACATGTCAATTGCACTCCATTTAAAAAAATTGTGTAAAAATAAGCTTTAAAACCCATCAACTGCTAAACCATTCAAAGTGACCGAAAAAGTTTGTTAAATACACAAATCAGCTCGACATCTGATATTGACATATGATGTGATGAAAATAAACGCCAACTTCAAGTTACTCACATCGGTTGCGTATGAATGCGTTCTATTCCGTTTATTTGTGCATGTGTATGCACTAGAAAAAATACCGATAGTTGATTTAGTGAGTCTGAAGCCGTCGACATATCAATTTGTGTTCGGTTAATTTTCACATACATACATTCATTTCAATATATAAAATTTTTTTTTCCCTTTTTTGAGTACAAGTCAATTTCGAAGTGTCTAAATTAAATTATCAAGCTGAAAAAATACACATACACACATACGCACAACGTAATAAGGTAAATGACAATCAGCGATTGAAATTATTGAAGAATAAAAAAAATATTAATTTTTGAATGAATATGTGTTGCAATAGTTTGATGGTACCATTTTCATCAAGAATGGTTAATAATCAGTTTTGCTGGTTGGCTGCCGACATTCATGTGTCGTCGGTAAATGCACAAATGTATAAATTGGTCCCGTTATGATGTACGTATGGTTTTGGTGAAATGTACACAAACTCAGACTGACTACGAGGCTGTGAACAGCGATAAGAATGCGTCCGACCAAATCGAATGCAATGGTATATGTGTCTGAATGTGTGCGTAATCGCTGTATGTTTTTATCTGTCTCTGTATGTGTGTGTGTGTTTAATGGCTAGCCTATTTGGATTCGAGTTAGTGCGACTGCGTATGTTTCTTTAGTTATGATTAGCCATATAAATCGGTTGATTTTAATTCTCTGCCACACGAATTACAATTTTATTTATTATTTAGTTGGTTTTATTCTTTCTCTTTTTCAATCATCCAGTGTGTTCATCGTTTTTTTCTTCTTTCTTTATCGCTTTTGGTCTTTTGCGACACAAACGCACCATCACATTTATTTGTTGTGTTTTTTTTTCGGGTGCTGAATAGGCCGTCTCGTGCATCGATGAATTGTTGTTTTCATACGTGCTCCCTCCTCCATTGGTGTTAGTGTGTATGATTGTCATGTCGATGCAGTTTTAGATTAATTTATGTTTTGAAGAGTATACATTTTTTTAAAAATCAGCATAATTTTTTTGTGTATGACAGAAATTCAGACGATACTAATAACAAATAGTTAATTGATTTTTAATTGTAGTTTGCTGACATTTGCAAAAATGTCTTGTTTATTAATTTGATTTTCTTTTTTTTTTTTTTTGTTGTGTGCGTTTTTCGAATGTCTAGAATTGAATGCCATTACAGAAATGGCGACAACAGAAGTAGGAGAGACGGTCAAAACACCACAAGAAAGCGACGAAAATGGGACAAATGGTGACATTTCCAAATTGGAATACAGTGGTTTGAGCGAAACTGATTTGGGTATTACTGATAGAATTACGGATGAAATTTCACATGAATTAGACGAACACGGTGCACCGGCACCATCGGCTAAAGCTATCAAACGGGAAATAAACGAAAATCATTCATTTAACGATGACGATGCTCCGAAAGTGTTGACTACATTGGAAACTGTAAAAAAACCATTACAACCAAACGATTCGGAAGAAATTGAAATTTGCCCAATCGAAACGGAAGACGATGAATACGAAGAAGAACCGATCTTACTCGAAGTGGTTAACGAAGATGAAGAAAATAAAGAATGTGAAACGTCCGAAATAGCAACAAAAACCGTAACGTATCGCAAAATGGATATTGCAACATTGTCAAATGATGGTCGTTCAAAGAATCAACAAACACCAAAAACGAATAACAGTAAACCATTGTCAACAAATAACGATTCGATTGTTACGCCAAACAAACCGATTCCGACACCATCTACAGGTACCATTGAAATTCCAAGAGAATTAATTACATCTGATGTCAGCGTTATTTCTCCGGTTATTATAAATCATATAAAAAATCCATCAGCTAACAGCAATGATTTGATTGCTATTTTAGAGGGCGACGGTGATGAAAACGGTTCACTAAATACATCTGTCGAACATTACGAATTGTCATTAACAAGTGGAAATACAAACGGTGAACAAAAATTAGGATTAACAGCTGAAGAAGAACGTGAAATAGCAATGGAGCAAATTATGAGCTTGCCGAAAAAGAAAAAGGGACGACCGAAGCTAAGTCCAGCGGTGAAGGCGGCACGTGAAACGAAATCTGGTAAAAAAACAAAAAGTGCATTGATCAATTCATTGGTATCCGAATGGGATGAAAATGAAGCAAAACACGACGATTCCACCGAAACGGAAATCGTTGTTGAAATTCGACCACAAAAAAAACAGGCAATTGTTGAACCACTTCAACCGACATTCCGACGTTCACGTATCATAAAAAAGAAAATCATTTGGGATCCGGATGCGCCAGAAACGGCAATTAATTATGCAAGTTTGGCGCATACATCCGGTGCTGGTCCGGTGAAGAAACAACGAAAAAAGCGTGAAATCGATGATACCGAACCAGAACAATCTGAAACAATTGAAGATAGTTCAGTTGTGGCTGAAGTTACATTACCATTGGCACCGCCACCGAAAAAAAAGAAAACATCGGAAATTGATAAATTGCTGGGTGATGAAGGTGCAGCCAACATGCTGAATTCATTACATCAGGGAAATAACAATAACAATAAAATCGATGGCACAAGCCCAGGTAAAATTTCACGAGCTAAAGCAATCAAAGTTGAACCGTGCAATGTTCAAAATTCAACGCCGTTATCGGCGACTAAAGCAAAATCGACAAAATCAAAAGAGGTCAAAGAGCCAAGTCCACAAAAGCAATCGCCAAATCCAAACAAGAAGAATACAACACCGAAAAGTGTTGGTGCTGGCAAAAAACGTGGCCCAAAAACTTCTGAATCATGGGATTACATTTATAATACAAGACCCGATGATTGTATGATCATTCGACGACGTTCAAACAGTTCATATTCCAGTACAGCAAGCCTGAATCGTACAAGTATTGATTTGCCAAATGCACCGTTTGTTGGTGATTTTGATGGCGGTGACAATGAACACGAATTCGAAACACAAACTAGCAAACGTCAACGCACCAACAAAGACAAGAACTTTGAATTTGTAAAGCCAAGAGCTAAGAAAAATGGTAAGTCGGACAACGACACAAAATATCAAAGTAGCTTTGATGAAGCCAAAAATTCCGGTGTCGATGGTAATAGCATTTTTACCAACCATAAAACAATCAACAATCATACCAAATTGGATGAATTCGATATCAACGCATTGCCCATCAAGTTGGAAAATGGCAATGACAAAGACTCAACATTCACAGAAATTTCGGTGTGTCGTTTCGAACACTTTTCACAAATCACACTTCAGCCAGATGATACTGACTCAAAATCATTACTCACTGTGCCGGTTTGTAAAAATATATTAATTGTTGAATCAGATGAAAGAAAAAAATCACAATTTTTGTTTTGTTCATTTTAGATGTTGAAGGAAATCGAAACAGCCTTACATTCTCTGGAAAACGATAAAACGACAAAATTGGTTTTGTTAACATCGTCTGCTGAAAATTTCTGTGGCGGTGTTGATTATTCATCTTTAGTGCAATCAACAACGGGTGAAAAGCGACGCATTTCCGCACTTGAATTGACAAAGAAGTTGCAGTAAGATTTTTTTTCCGATTTCTTTTCTGCCACGATGGTATCAAAGGAATGATTAAAAATTAATTCAAATTATTTATTTATTTCAATTTGTGCAGCAATTTTGTTCAAGTATTGGCAGCATTCAAGAAACCATTGGTCGTTTATGTGAAAGGTTTAATAAGTGGTCTCGGCGTAAGAATGCTGCCGTTGTTCGATGTCGTTTGGGCTAAAAGTGGTGCTTCCTTTAGTGCAAACAGTCAAGACTACGGCGAGATAATCGAGGGAACCGCTTTGCTGTCCGCAACCGATAAAATTGACTATAATGCCGTTAGTAGACCATTCCTTACTATATTATATTTCAAAGATGATTAAGTCAAAATTAAATTTTCGCATTTTTTTTTCGGATAGAAAGCCAAGCTGTTATTTTTAAATGAGGTGATGGGCGTAGAAGAGGCCAAAGATTGCAATATGGTAACCCAGGTACTTAAAGAAGGAACAACTGACCAACGCATTTTAATTGAATGTAATAAATTGGCCACAAAATCGTCTTTGGTGAGTTTTACCATCAAGATTCAACAGATCTTTGAAAAAGAATAAAAAAACTCAATATTCAATCGTCCTATTTTGCATAGGTAATGGAAACCTTTAGACTGATCCAGCAACAAACTGTGCTTCCAAAGTTAAAAGATGCACTGAAAATCGAGCAAAAGCAATTGTTGCAACACTGGAGTAAATCGGATTTTGTGGATAAAATCAAATCACAACTATAATTTGGTAAAATGATATACGAAATTACACAGTCGCTATGTCATTACAAAATCACCGATATTTCATCATAAACACAATGCATTCTTAATTTAGAAAAATTTAATTTCCATCTTTTTGAACATGATTCTTTATCATTCATTTAAAATTGAGCTTATTGATTTCTTCTTTTTTTTTAATTAAGGAAAGAGTATCTATGAAGTAGATACAAAGTTTTTACATATATTTTTTTTTTTTTGAATACTACAGAGAGACACATTTATTTTAGTTGAAATATTACGAATATAGGTGAAGTGGCCTTAAGTTTATTTAGTTCTAAACGCGACCGAAAAATATCGAAACGAAGAAAATTCTCAACGGAAGAATAATTTTTTTTTGTATGACCTAATTGATTTATGTCACGTTTTAATTCGAAGCTCGAAATATTTGTTCAATGAAATGAACAATTCTTCCATAAATAAGTCCGTAAATTGTTAATTTACATTGCGTGCAACTAGCTAGATCGACTTTTTTGAATTTCATTTCGGTAATATTATGAACGCTTGAAATCAGGGATCACAAAAGTTTATCAAAACAAAATTAAAAACGATTAAAATTAAACATATTATAAAAATATTTCGAATAAATTCGGAAATGGGAAAGAATTAAGTTAAATCAAAAATAATTTTAAAAAATTGATTTCAAGTGCAAGATCAATGATTTTCAAAATCGTACAAATTTCTAATTTCCAAATTATCATTTTTTTCTTCTTTGAATTGAATAATATACGCATATAACATATAGATATTTTTCTCACATTTTTAGACAGTAAAATATACTATTTTTGTTATCAATAATGTTGATACATTCATCATCGGCTCCATTATTCGAGCCGACTAATTTTCAAAAGAAAAATAAAATCAGAGACAATTTACTTCAACAAATAAAAAAAATAAATGTTGCTTTATTATGTGTGTGTTTGTGTCTATTTTATATTGCATTATATTTTATTCGCTAGACTTTCCAATTCGTTAAGCAGCATTTCTGGGATATATTTTTCGAGTACTTCTCGGTTGATTTTGGCACATTCAATAAATTTAAATAGAAAATGTAGAGCAATGTAGGCTTCAGCTCCGATTTCTTTCTTCAGTCTGAAATGAAATAAAAAGCAAGAAATGAAAATAAATAAATCTAAAATGCTGCAATGACTGTTATCAAAACGTACGGAAAACTATAGTCAGCCATTGAAATAACATATTGAGCCATTTCATCAATGAAAATGTCCATAATTTCGATATGATATTGTTTCAACACCGTCATTACACCAACAACAAACGATATTCCGTCGATGTGTTCGGCCAATTTTTTTCCAATCAAAGTCGATAGATTTTTTGTGTACGTTAATTTTGGCACCTGTGATATGGTTAATAGCAGCATTGCAGTGGCCATATTTCGAAAGTGTTTTGTATCGATATACACCTTTTCATATGGATTATAAAGACCGGCCCACTCAAGATATTTATTAACTTTCCACAAAAGTTCAACACTTGGACACGGTTTTTCCGGATCCAATTCATGCGATCTTAATTCAAGCAATAGGGAGCTGTGAAGAATTGGATTGTTAGGACTCTGTTTACTCAAATGATAAAAATTTACACTCACTCGTTCATAGTTCGTAATGTGGATTCCAAATTTTTTGAATTGAATTTACAACTGGAGTTCAGTTCAAAAGCGATATACTTGCGTATGATTTGCTTTTGACCAATGGCCAAAACAAGATCGAGAATTTTCGGTGTCGCTTTTATAAACTTTGATATGTGATTATTGTAAAATTTCAATGGTTGCGACACAGTTGCGGTTGATGTCGATGCTTCATTATTTATTGAATTTACAATATCGGCCATTGTCTTGTCATTCAAAATACTGTGTTGCAATGAATTGACCAATGATTCCAGATCGGATTTTATCATGTGCGAATAGAGTTTATCTAAACCAACTAAGCCGGCCGGTTCGATGCTTTCGATTATTTTTGACATCACATTCATGTGCAAGAGTTTCTTGTGCGATTTAAAATCATACCACGATGACATACCATCGATATAAACGGCCGTTCTGTTTATAAAAGAAAAACTGTTTTGAAAAACAAAAATTGGATCCAAATGAAAAATGATTTTGTGACCTTGGGTCTGTGTGTCGTAAAATTTCAGTTGCCAATCGTCCGATAAAAGTAACGGAAACGGTGTCAGTTGGCGGAAATACTGGTATTGGAATGTTTGTGCTTTGATATTCCGATTGCCAATCTTGAACTTTCTTCCTCAAAAATGTGTTGCACTCTTTTTCCACATTGTAGTTTATAATGCGAAACATCTGAAAACGCAACAAAACAAAAGCAACTTTAATTTGGAGGCTTTTCTTTGTAAATGACAGCTTAAAATGAATCAAACCTCTTCTTGCCAAATTTTGAATCCATAAATGTTTAAATAATCTTGAACATATTCAAAAGATCGCTTGTATCCATCAATTATTTTCGATAAATTGGTCAGTTTATCAACTAAGTTTTCGGGTGTTTTTGATTTTGTGCTAAATGTTAATCCATTGTGAAGAGATTCAGCGAGATGTTTTACCAATTCTTTGCGTATGCCATCTTCCAGCAATTGTTTCGGATCCAATTCAATGACACCGACGAGTGTTTTTTTCATTTGTAAAATGCCTTCGGTGAAAACGGATATTTGATACGTATTTTTGGCAACCGCATATCGTTCATCCAATTGTGCATATTCGCGAACCTTATCCTTATCAAGACGGGTTGGCACCTCTTTCATTGTCTCCGTTTGTATTTTAATGATTCGCTCGAGTATTTCAAACATTGTTTTTGGAATGATTTGAATAACTTTGCGCACATAATTGACCAGTTCATTGCTGTAATACTGTGATACTGATTCCAAATCATCGCTATGCGCTTGATTAATGCGCAACAATGGGATTTCCAATGCACTCGCCAATTTCAAAAATGTTGCACGTAATTTGATCACCAGACTTGGTTGCTTTTTAACGCTCTCCTGCATGATGATGGTATAATTATCGATTGTGATCCATGCATAGCTTAAATCGCCGATAATTTGTAAATTGATCAAATTATCTTCTTTAATATTTATTGTTTGAATCATTTGATGTAAATATTGATCGGTTTCAATCAAATGCTGTTTCACTTGCATATTTGAATTGAGATTATGATATTCTTGAACACGTTCCAGTGCCTGAATCAATTGTATTATTTTTCGGCCCGATACATTTGCATGTTCATGCGATAATTCGTTCACATCTTTTGCAATATCGGCAAACCATTTTTTTAAATCGTCATTTTTCTTGATTTTCATCAGTGAATTTGATGCGGTAAACACTTGGCTTAATTCGGCCAAACGTTCGTGCGCCTCTTTTCGACATGCATCCCATTGTGATTCTTTTTCGACTAAGACTTCTTTGATTATTTCGCGTACCTTAAACTCCAATTGGCTTACATTCAACAGCAATTCGAACAATTCAACGGATTTATAAGCCGAATCGTTGATCACTTGATTTTCAAATTGTTTGCACTTCTTATTTTGGCTACAATCGTACGTTGATTTACTCGTATGCAACATCATCCATCTTAATGTTACATTACATTCCCGAATTAAATTCACAATTTTTATGATGTTTTTCACGAGCATTTGCTGTGTAACAATTCCGTCTTTGAGCAATGTTCGTGTTCTTTGAATTAATTTTTTCATCTGTGTTGAATGTTTGATGGCAATTTCTTTGATATTTCTTCCATCAATCACATTGGTCAACGCATTTTTGGCCGCCTTGTATGGTTCCCATGCATCAATCAAATTTACCGTCATGCCCATATAAATTGATACGATCCAATTGTCGGAGAAGAATTTGTCGACAATTTCACGCATTTGGGACTGTTGATGGTGAAGTGTGCGCGGCGAAAAATACAAACACACATACAGCATTGCCGCTTGATTAGCCAATGCGATTGAACGATGCTCTGGCAATGGATAAACTGAAATTTGATTGTAAATATCATCGGAACGAAGACGACCGATTATCATTTCAACAAATGTTTCATCCAAATCAACACGTCTACAAATGATTCGAAAAAAAAACAGATTCTTAATTTGTTAAAATTCATTGTTTTGTAGAATGGACATTCATTGTGTTACCTGAAATATTCTTCGGGATAGTTTGTTACCCGTTTTACATCCGATGCATTATTGAATCCAGTTGAACGTAACAACATACAAATATCCTCGATATTACTGTCACTGTTGATTTTGCCGGTGCCGTAACGGTGATAGGATACCAGAATTCGTTCACGTACGATGCCAGGAATATGCATGTCAAGAATCAACAACATGGCACCGTACAGATATAGAGATTCCGTCTGAAAATGAACACCTACCGATTATATGCTAACCTAAAATATAGGTAATTAATTGACAACTATACCAGCAATTGTTTTCCTTCGTCATCTTGCAGTATCGATTCCACAGTCTGTTGAATGTACATACCCTCATTGACTTCATGTAAAAAGAATTTCAAATCGCTAACATATTGATGAACACTTTCGAACGCTAAATAGCATCGGGTTAATATTTCCAAATAGTTTTCGCGAACTTCTTCATCAAGGTCTTGCAATTCCTACTCAATAAATGATTGTTAACGCAAATAAATCCCGTTAACATCCACATGTTTACAGTCGAAAATAACGCCGTCATTCGTCGACGTCACATTGGAAGTGGACAAAAGAAGAAAAGAAAAAAAGCTAACTATGAATAAAGATCAATACAGTCAAGAGAAAATTGTTAATTCAAATCGAGCCATATTCATATCGTCAAAAATGGATTTCATTCGTGTGCAATGCCGACTGAGATATCACCTGAATTTCATCCACTTTTGACGCGCAAAATCTCGTGAAAGTCAATATTTTCAATTGAAAATTAAACTCACCGAATTCTCTTCGATTTTCTTCTCCTGCGCTTCGGATATTTTGAAATAGCTAAAATCCAATATGATTTCCGCATATTTTACTTGATCTTGTTTCTTTTCGAGCCTGTTTACAATGACATCAAATTCGATAGAAATTAGTTTTCATCAACAAGTTTTAAAACGAGAAACACAAACCGATATAGCTCTGGAATGTAATCTTTGACCCGCAGAATCTCGGCAATGATTGCATTTCCGACCGCAACAATTTGTAATAAATTTTGTCCACAAACATTATCCTCAGCAAGAAATTCGGTCATTTTATTTAGAAAACAATAAAAATTTCAAATTTCAATACAAATTTCAATTTTATTCAGAAAAAAAGAAACTAGAAAAAATAACATTGACCAACAAATCTAATCAAAACAAAAGAAAAGTGAATGTTTTGACACTGCATCTGGGTTTGACGTTTCAGTTGTCAAAATCTAATGTTTTTTTATCTTAAGTGGCATCTTTGACATTTCTGGCTTGCTTACAACAAAGCACAATGTCTACGTCGTATAAATATTTAAAAATTGAAAATTTGGACAATTTTCGAAAAATAATCATCAGTAATCCAACGCAGAAAAATGCATTGAACGTGCAAGCCTATTCAGAATTAACAGGTAAACTGGGGAAAATTGTTTATTATTCACAGGCGGAAACAAAAGCAAACGGAAATGTTTGGAATGTAGAACAATAGCATTTTGTTTACATAAACAAATCAATCTTGCTATTTATTATTTTCATTTAGATGCCTTGAATTCGGCTGCAAAAGATGATTCGGTGACTTTAGTCGCATTAACAGGTGACGGGGATTACTACAGTTCTGGAAATGACATTAAAGCATTTCTCACAGTCAACGATCCACAAAAAGCTGTCGCTGATGCTGGTATTGTTTTGAAATCAATGATTCGGGCATTTTTTACCTTTCCCAAATTGTTAATTTGCGTTGGTACGTCTATAAATATGTATATTCTATTTCTCTATCTTTTTTTTCGCTCATTTTCTTTCGACAACTGAATTCATTTTGTTAATATCGTTACTGTTAGTGAATGGACCTTGTATTGGTATTTCCTGCACAACAGCCGTTTTATGTGATATTATCTATGCAGTTGATACGGTACTATTTCATCTAGAAAATAATGAAAATTTCAGTTTAACTTAAAGAAAACATGTTGTTTCGTCACTTTTAGGCATATTTTTACACTCCATTTTCATTATTGGGTCTCTGTGCGGAGGGTTGCGCCAGTTACACATTTCCTCGTATTCTTGGCAGAAGTAAAGCCAACGAAATGCTCCTGTTAAATTATAAATTGTCTGCGGCTGAAGCATACCAATTTCAATTGGTATCAAAAGTATACAAAAAATCCGAATTGAATACAATTTTATGGCCGACAATTCAAAAACAATCAAAGCTACCGAGAGATTCAATCTGTGTTACCAAACGATTGATCAACGAATTTAAGCTGAAAGACTTAGAAAATGTATGTGATCGAGAGCTAGAAGAGCTATATAAACGATTTGAATCGGATGATTTTATACAAGCCGTTTCAAATTTTTTCCAGCGAAAATCAAAACTCTAAACCATTCATTCAATTTGTCAATAGTATGTGATTGATGATATGTGAAATAAATCCATGTTAAACATATTTTTTTAATTTTTATTTAGTTTGCAGATTTCATTCAATTATTTATTTACGTTAAATTGGTAATAACACATGCTATTCACTCTGTTTTAAAATGAACCAATACAAAAAAAAATGTTATTTTCGTCTACTGAGGAAAGATAGATAGATTTTTTTTTTTAGATAGATCACAATCGATCAATGGGATGATGTAAAAATATTCTTCGCGTAGCTAATACTTTATGTTTTTTCCCCATTGTTTTCCAAAACCGCAATGAAATTTGAATGCATCCTATTGAGCTGCAGCGATGCGAGCCTTTTGTTCTTCGACTGCTTTGAGATGTTCAATTTTGGCCAAGGCGACTTCGGGTGTATCTTGTGGTCCATTGTTATTATCATTGTTGTTGTCATTTAAAATGGCTAATTGATTCAATGGCACTGTACGAGCGATCAATTGAGGTGGACCGAATGCTGGTGTATTGAATGAGTATGAGAATGAACCTGGTGCGGATGTACGTACGGCGAGAATTTGTGGTGGTTGAGCTGCGGCAATTTGTGTAATTTGTGGTGGATTTTCTGGTTCAGCGGCCGCACGTAGTGAAGCTTCATTAAAAGCACGGAAATGTTCAGCTTTGGCTTGGGCAACTTCTGGCGTATCACTTATGCCATTCAATGAGGCTTTTGGCAAATTTGTTGCGGCTGCTCGGAAACCGTTAACTGAATCGGCCGTGTATTCAACGGTTTGAAGGCGACCCTCAGCATCAACATATGAGTATGATCCACGTGTGATGCCGTCAATCGATTTTGATTCAACTTTAGCAGACGATCCACCATTGTATCCGTAACTGTACTGTCCAAGTGTGTCTTGTGAATGATATTGACTGATAACAGGCGATTGAGCTGTGATGATTGTTGGCGTTAGTAGAGTTTGTGGTGCTGCAAATACGGCCACAAATAAAGCAAATACAAAGATAAGCGTTTTCATTTTTGAATTTGATACGTTTACTTTTAAAATAATTGAAAATGAAACTTTTAATTTAAATGATTTTGAAACAAAGGCGCTGCTGGTTATTTAATTAATCCAGTACTCGCTCTATGGCTCTCTATCTGAAACGATTCTGATGATTCTTGCTCGTATGCATCAGCCTTTTATACCATTCTTTTGAATGCAAATCAATTTGATTTGGGCACACCAAACTGTCAACCATTGCCGTTGCATTGTAGCCGTCTGCCGTCTGCATTTCATTGCATGATGAAACATTGCATAGCTAAATAAAGGGGAACAAAACAAAAAACCGAATAAAAAAAACCAAAGCAAACAGAGTAGCATATGATACATTGGCGTGCAATGATTACTGGTTTTCAGTTTCGGAGATTCATCACATCATATGTAGCCTACATATAACATGTAATGGCAATGCATATTATTTGTGCATCAAATATAAACGACCTCGATCTTCTTGTTTCTGCTTCTTTACCTTACCACTTTATCACGTTACATTTTGTGTCGTACATTGCGTCGTTGCTGCTCATTGTATTTTTTTTATTCTTTACAAAGTTTCTTTCTTTCTTTTCGTGAAAAACGTGTGTGTGTCCATAAATTTTCCTGGTAATCAGCCCACGTTTCTCACTAGCAGCCATTTATCACAAAGGAATGGTGTTGAAATACATGCATCACTTTGCAGCACGGAAGAAGATCAGAATAGGATATATTGCAACAAATAATCGCATTTATACAATATATTTATATCTATTCGATTGTTCAATTTATTTTTGGCCTGTTCGGCAAGGTCACCAACGATAAGAGCATCGCTTATGCACTTCTGTGTGCAATTGAATAGCACGTGAATTCAATTAAGGAACATATGAATCGAATAAATCGAATTGTGTTTTAAATAAAAAGAAGATCTATCACATTCATGTACCAATAATGATACGCACGTACTCGATCATCGTACACAAAGGGATACGATGCATTTATAACAGTGCATTCATCGTCGATAAGGTCCGCATCGGACAACCAGTGATATGCTCTGATTTGTTAAATTGTAAATGAATTAATGGGCGACTTGTATATTTTGATGATTATAAATGAAGCGCAACCGAACACAGCAAACCAACACGGCTAATGAATTGACCTTCAATACTTTCGATACTTGCATGGCTTTAACTTTGATTTCAATTTTTATTCGTCTCTAAAAACCAGAATTACTTAAATCTAGCTACCTTTTTTGTTATGGTCGCTCTGCAACGATAACACTATGACAGAAAACGAAAAACGATCTGAAACGGGTCGCAAATTCGAGGATCAAATTCATTGAGATCATTATAATTGAGTGCATGCACGTTTTTGACGCTGTTCCGAGTTTTTAGATTATACTTGCATATTACAAATGCACTGTCTTCAAATTACAAAACGCTGAAACCATAGTAAAAATCACTTTCGCTTAAATCGGTATAAATTGGATGTCGTAGATTCAATTACAAATAAAAAATCGAGTCTTAGTTGCATGTCATATGAAATAGTTAATCAAAGAAGTGTAACAACGTTGATTGTTGTTGCCTTCGTTATATCTGCGGTTTATTCATCTCATTACAGCATGATCAATGATGCAGTAGCGTTAATTTGAATTGAACTATAATTTTCATGTTCTGCCATTAATTTTGAAAGCAACTACAGTGACAAGAAAATTAAGAAATTTTTGTCTGGTGCCATCGTGACAAGGATGTTTTGATCAACAGCTGCACCATTTCCAATCGATCAAAATGTATCCATTGCGCAGTGAACTGAATCCACTTACCGTTGTGAACATCATTTACTCGTGTAAATAATCATTTTGTAAATTGAGTAGTTTCCCAAAAAATGTCCATTGAAAAGTTAATTAAAGAATTTAAATGACAAAACCTGAGTGAAACCGGTCAAACCGTCATTGCTCATACAATCCAATGTAGAAGATTTAAAAAAAAAGAAAAGAAAGAAAAACAATCAATGAAATCGATTGCTTTCTAAACGCATTTTAATGTTGTATTTATGACCTCTCTGCACATAATTATAAGATCATGCGATTTTACTATGATCATTATACCTACCTTCCAACCATAAATGTCTATGGGCTGAAACTGTCTGAGTTCATATGCACCGGTTGCCAGTCGTTACGTTTATTGACGTCTGCAATTTTTTTTTATTTTGTTTCCCATTTCCTTAAAGGTCGTCCTCTTATTGAGGCGAAAATACACTGCACAGTCGATACTTATTGTTTGTACGTTACAATGAATATATATCAATTTTGAACCATAAACAAACCCATTGATTCATTAATTCAATAACCGGATGTAATTTCAATTGAAATCGAAAATTGAATTATTATGACTTTATAGCAATATCATTAATTAAAAAAAAAAAAAAAACGTTAAGAAATATGTCGCAGTGCATTATTCCTTCTATTAAAGTTTCAGTAAATTCGACAAGAAACCGTTTGTATGAAATTGGAAATTTCTACGTCAAATTCCATACCTTACCTTGTTGCATATGATTATCGTTCAAACGAAGCGTAATAAATACAACTGATTCTTTTTTTTAAAAAAAAGTAAAAATATTTTATTGGAATGGACCTGCTACATATTACAATGAATTTGAAATCTAAAGCTGTATCGGACAAGAAATGGTAACAAATCTCTTCTCTATTTTTCTAACCGGCGCATCGAACATATGGTCGAACGATGTCGTGTGCGCACATGAATTTATTTGCGTTAATGTTTATTTTGGCAATTATTATGGGGTTTCAGCTGCATTGGCCACTTTCATATCTTGCTGTGTTTTAACGAATTCCGGAAATGAGACGTAGCCATCGTTGTTGGTGTCCATAATTTTAAGTGATTGATCGATAATTTCGCTTAATTTTTCATCCGTATAGGTGCTTGAACCATCTTCAACACCCGGTGCATTGTCTTTTTCTGGAATGGGGCATGCACGCGAATTCATATGGTTTTTAGAATGATTTTGATTTTTTGCAATGTTAATTATTTTTGTTGTAATTTCTCTTTTATACATGAGGCTTAGTTAGTAATTGAAAAGAAAATTTAGATATAGAGATGTTGATTTCTGAACGAAACAAACGAACATGCGATTTTTTAATTTGAAATTTTGACCAAATGTTGTGTATTTACTGTCATTGACGATTATTAATTCAGATAATTATAAAAAAAAAAATGAAATTTACTATTTGATTAGTTTCAACCATCTCCTCAAAAAAAAATGTTTCATTTTTTTTTGCATTTCATGTTTAAACCAATCTAAAAGTAAGAAAATTGTATACCAAATTTGGAAAAAAGTTCCCCAATGTTTCATGCAATGTACCCCAATCATATTTTTCATGCAATTAATTTTGTTTTAAATGTTTAAATTTTCAAAATAAATAAATTTTTTATTTCAATCAAGAGTTAATGCGAAGAGGATCAGTGGTGATTATCATTAAGATGAACGTCTTCATGCGTTTCGTGCTCTTTAATATGATGTTCCACCTCCTTATCACCGAGTGAATAAACATATTCATCCCATGATATATATCCATCCCAATTGTAATCGGCCTTATTCAGCGCCTTATCGACCGACTCTTCCAACATTGCTTCAGTCAAATGCATTTCCTCAGCATGACTGTCATCACCTTCTACAAATTTTGAGATTTTATGTTAATTTCGCATGGTAGATTTCAATATTGACACATAACATTGATCCATTCATTTTGTTAGTGATAATTTCTCTTAAAACGAATTAATTTATGTACAATAGCAACATTTAATTTTTGTTACCAATTCGATTTATTCCTGAAAATTGTATATCTCAATGAAGCGAAGTTAAAAAATACAATATCAGTTAAATGTGAATAACATAAAGAAACATAATGAATAAAACATATAAGAATCGTAATTTTAAGTTTATAAATTATTTTTGTATTCGGTGTAATCGATAAAACCGTCTTTGTTAATGTCCATTGATTTTAATAGCTGATCGATTGTGTTGGCCAATTCATCATCTTTGTAAGTATTCGCTTGTGGTTGCGGAACTTCGTGTGTGCCTTCATCTACGTTTGCGTGTTCGGTTATATTGAAATATTTAAATATTTTGATGTGAAATCGAGTCATCATGTATTTAATGGAGTAAAAAAATTAAATTCGATTAGTCGCATCAACGTTATTTTGGTCTTATTTATGGTATACATACGACGCGCACAAATATAAATAGGGAAAATCTTCGTTCACAAAGAAAAATCGAAATACAATATAAGAATGTTGACATCACAAATCCATTAATTCCATTCGACTAACTAAGCTTAAAAATGTTCACACCATATGTATATGTGTTTAAAAGGATGCATTTTTATTCGTTATTTTTTGTTGTTGTATATTTTTTTTCCTTCTATTTACTACGTCGTTTGATACTGATCCAGAATGCTTGTACGGTCACGTTTGAACTCATTATACCAATCGTATACGGTTGTTTTCGATGGAGCAGATTTCCCTAAAGTTTTCTCGAAGTCATCTAGGATTTCTTGCGGCTTTAACCCTTTCAAAAATTGATACTTGATCACTGCACAAATTTCTGTTTTTTCCATGTTTTTTAAAAAATTAGAGGTTGCACAGTTCAAATGACTTTATCTCATAAACTATTCGATGGAATGTCATGAAATGTTTATAGCAGAGGTTTGAAGGGTGGTACTTGACAGCTATGCATTGGTTTTTTACATATGATGCCATCTGGTGGCCGGCTACGGATCATTATCAAACCACGTAGTAAACCAAAATAAATTACAAGTATTAAACATAAATTTTATCAAGATAAAATTTGATCGCGATTGCAACTTATCATTCATTTGTTTATTGTTTTCATTCGTTTTTATTACTGAAAATACGAATTTGTTCGTTTTTAACTGTAAACGCTAACCGTTAGCTTTCTATTATAGATTTTTTTCTTTCTCATTATTACACTTATGTGAAATTGTAATTCGTTTTTTTTTCTCATTTAATTTAAGTATGGAATTTTAAATGCCATTTCAATATCTTTTTTTCTCTCACTATTTTGTTTTAGAAACCAATGGTTTTGTTTCACCAATATGTTTGATGTATATGTAGAAATGCATTACCACACAAGTGAGATGAAAGATAAGAACATAAATCACAGCTTTAAAATTAAGATTACACAAAAGATGTCAATAAATGTTTTTTCTCTTTACAAGAGTTCAATATCAATTGTAACGATATCGTGTACGTTCAGTTTATAATATTTAAAGATTGTTCGTTTCAATAATTAATTCACTTCCCCCAAAAAAGGGGACGCTTCACACATAGATGTGCAAGCAAAAAGTGAATTGGTAAATGCGACCCATTAACAAAATGTTTAAACTGAATAAAATCGTAAAGAGAATCTTGTGACTGCTTATTTTGTGGATGTTTGCGTGTGTGTGACCATTGTTGTTTTTCTCTTAAAAAAATGTTGATATTATTTATCTATGTTGTGGTGGTTGTTGTTGGTGCTGTTGCTGTTGCTGTTGTTGTTGTTGCTGCTGCTGATTAGCTGCTGCTTTTTGTTGTGCCCGTATAAATTCCGGATAATCAATGAATCCATCGTTACTTGTGTCGTCCATTTTTAAAATTGGATCAATCAATTGAACGAGCTCTTCATCGGTGAAGATTTTTTCTTCGATTTGAGGCATTTGTTGGGAATTGTCCTTGCTTCCTTGCTCTGATGGTGGGCATTTGGACATTAAATGGATATGCAGACGCACAGTATCACAGATGGGATTTTTTTTTTTGGTGAGCATTTTTCGTTCAAGATTTAAATGAAGCAGAAAATTTGTGTGCAATAATATCAAATGAGTTCGATGGCCCACATTACCGGCAAAATGGGAAAACATTATTTGACACATTTATTTATTTGGTTAACATATTTGTTTGTTTTTGTCAAAATTTGTTTTTTTTTGATACGGTTTTTGTTTTATATTATGCATGGTGGTGAAAATTGATGACGATGTTTTCGAACATGAAATAGAAAACAAACAAAGAGAGAGAGAGAGAGAAAAGAAAACATTACGTTATGGTAATAACCAAACCACTGCCAACTGTTTAAATATGCTAGAATATTCAAATCAGCGAACAGTACACTCAATTTCTACACTTTCTCTCGTTTTGAATCATTAAATAGTATCGAAATTGACGCATACTTTTCACATTTGTGCACAACATTTTTCTAACTACAAACTTAACATCCGAAAAATATATACATAATCAATCCAATAATTAAATTAGAACCCACACCAATATAAATCATTTTTTTACAAAGCAAACAAACATATTCAAATTCCAAACAATTTGTTCCATTGCTCATTAAAGTGATTTGTTTTTGGTCGATATATCAATATTGAATACGATATGAAATAGGGATTATGTACACATATTGAAATTGTTTGCAATTCAAAGACAAAGCAGAAAACAAAGCAAAATTGACAACAAAAAGTAAACACAACGTGAAATTGATGAAACACTTACCGTGCCAATGAATGAGTGACTTGATCAATTCGCTGCCATCTAATTTATTATTCTTATCGGAGTCATGCATTGTAAAGTAATGGAATTGCAATTCTTGTTCAGTCATTTTACTTGTATCAATCGGTACTTCCATGTGTTCTTGGATGTGCCTGATGAACGGAAGGGAAAAACAATCAAATAAGTTTTGTAAACTTTAAAGAGATTTAATAAACTCTTACTCTTTTTCTTCGTTGACATTGCCGCCCAAAACATTTCCTATAAATACACAAATCGGTTATGCAAATGATAAATTTCGTTCTACTTTAGTCTAACGGTAATTACCATTGTGAGAACCGTGAGCATGACCATGGCCATGGCCAGTTTCATGCTGTGGTTGTTGGAATTGTTGCTGTTGTTGTTGTGGTGGTTGCTGCTGCTGTTGTTGGTATTGTGGTTGCTGGAACTGTTGCTGTTGTTGTTGTTGCTGATGTTGTGGTGGTTGTTGGTATTGTTGTTGGGGTGCAGCCTGTTGATATTGTTGATATTGAACATTTTGTTGTTGTTGATATTGAGGTGAACCTTGTTGATATTGGGTATTATGATGCTACAAATTAAACCAAATAAAAAAAAGAATAAATTTTACAATTGAAACATTTATTGTAATGATATCAAATTGAAAAGAATATGTTCAATCATTTTATTTTGGGAAAAAAGCATGAAATTTATTTTACTAACATATTGTTGAGGTGGAACGCCGGGTGCAACACGTTGTGCTAATGATACAGCTATCACTTCAAAAAGAGCGATGCTAATGAGTAGTAATCTTGTGTGGTGTCTCATTGCGGACAACATTTCTGAAACGATAAATGCATGCTGGTGAGTTGTTGTTTTTTTTCAAACTTGTTTTTTTCATGCGTTAAATTCAAGGACGGTATTCTTTTTTAGTCAGACTTTCTCTTTAACTCAAAACTCTATTCAACATTGGCTAATTTTTTTTCGGTACCACACCATGAACATATGATTTGATTTGTTTTTTTTTTTCTAAAAAAATGACTTTTTGTTTTCAATTTATCCGCTTCGTCAGCGAGAAACAATTGGTGGTATAATAATTTTTTAAAATTGTTTCATGTATTTTACCTTTAAATTTACGTTATGAACTAAAATAAAATAAAATCTCTTCCGTGACAATATTTGTCGTGACGTTACACACATTAACTAATGATTGAAAAACTACTGAAAATTGTTGTTTTTCGTTTAAAACATTTAAGTTATTCGAAATTCCAACACACGATATTATCACATTAGACACATACTCGAAACAGCTTTTTAATTCACCTACTTTGAATCATCCACGTCAGGTATTCGCTGTTGTACTCAATATACCAGATAGTGGCAATTGTTGACGTTTACGCAATTCTTGTACATACGGACTTTCTCCGTAAATACATAACAACATGAAGTTGACTCCAACTGATTTCGATTGCGAATTGAAATGAACACTTGTTTTTGGCATACGCATTAATAATATCGGTGACGTTTTTAAAAATTGCAGTTGTATATGTGATCAATTAAATTTTGTGCAATATGGCAATTGTATTTAATATTGCAAAATATTTTTCTTTTGTATTTGCATCGGTTAACACTAATTGATTGCCTTATCTGTATTGTTTGTTTTTGGTTTTTCAAATGTCAGAAAAGATTTCTGTCTTTTTAACCGGCAACAAATAAATTCATACACAGATACAAAATTCAAATAAAAAAAAGAAACTTGTTTTTTATCAATTGATCACATGAACGGTGAAGCGATAGCAATGTAATGGTCATTTATTAAAATCTTTAATTTGATAAAGACTATTTTCAGAGTGAAACTGAAGTCATAAAGAATCACGAATCGAACGTGCGACCAACAATAAGAAAGAAAATATGTATACAATTTACGATACGGGCAATCGTAAAACGAATGTCCATCATTTATCGCATTGGTGGGCAATTTCGTTGACTGCAATGGTGTTTGTGTTGAGCTGGTTTTCTCATCATCGACTTCTTACACTACCACCCAGCCTAACCGTAAACGATTTGCCTACACACAATCAATCGTTCATTGCTGAACGAGCCTGGCATGATTTGAATATTCTTACAAGCTTTGGACCACGACCAACTGGTAAATGATACGAATTCATTATTTGTTTACCGTCAAATAAAGAGTAATTATATTTGTAATTTATTCTATTGACAGGAAGTCATGCAAACGAAGTACTTGCCATAGATTTTTTCAAACGTGAACTATCGTACATTGAGCGAAATGCAAATCCAAATCAGAAAATCATCTCAGACCTACAAATTGTGTCGGGCAGTTATTTTATCAATTTTAAACCACATCCGATGACAAATATCTATCGTAATGTGCAAAATTTCATCGTTCGATTGGCTGGAAGTGAGGAAGAGGAAAATTCACTGCGCAAAAGTCACGCACTGATGTTGAATTGTCATTTTGATTCGGTGGCCGGAAGGTGAATTGAATTGATTAAAAAAGACATTTTTTAATTTTTTTTTTAAATTTAAATCGAAAACTTCATCTTCGTAGCCCTGGTGCCAGTGACGATGCGGCCAGTTGTTGTGTTATGCTGGAAGTTTTACGAGTGCTATCGCAACAAGAAAAACGTTTGAGACACCCAGTAATTTTTCTATTCAATGGTGCTGAGTATGTTCATTTTTTTCTTGTCAAATGAAGAAAAATATTTTAATTTCATGTAAAATGTTGTCTTTTTCAGGGAAACACCTTTGCAGGCAGCTCATGGTTTCATCACTCAACATCGATGGGCTAAGGATATAAGAGGTATTGAAATACAACACACTTTTATATTTCAAAGCGTTAATCTTTTGAACTCTTAGCTTTCCTCAATTTGGAATCGGTGGGATCATCGGGTAAAGAAATTCTTTTTCAGTCTGGACCCAATCACGGCTGGCTCATTGAGGTGAATTTGGATGTCATTCAATTAAAAAGAGGAAATATAAATGATCGTTCTTATTTTAGATGTACAAAAATGCTGTTCCTTATCCAAACGGTCAGGTGGCTGCTGAGGAAATGTTCCACTTGGGCATTATACCGTCTGATACCGATTTTCGCATTTTCAGAGACTATGGCCACATACCCGGTAATAAATTTGTGTTTGTTTATTTTCGATATGTATAATGAGAATGAGATAAATGTAACAGTGCATTTCGTTGAACAGGAATGGATTTTGCTCATGTTTTCAATGGATATCGGTATCATACCAAATACGATGCAATCGATTATTTGCCAGCAAACGTACTGCAACGAACCGGAGACAACGTTCTTGCTCTTGTCAAACGGATGGCAAATTCTGATGAACTTACAAACACTGCCGTATGTATATGTCGCATAAGACATACTTTTTATTCTCACAGTATAGCTAGAATAAAAATTAATTTGTTTTTTTTTTTTAGGCGTATGTAAATGGTCGAATGGTGTACTTTGATTTTCTAGGCTACACATTCATTGCATACACTGAATCAATGGGCCAAATTATGCATATCCTCGTTCCAATAGTTTCGGTGATACTGTCTTATTACTTTGTACAAAAAACCAAAGGCATATCCCGTCGTAATGTTCGCAAAGAAATCCTGTACGGTTTCTGTGTTACAATATTCTCGCTCTTTGCGGGTATTTTAGTGTGCTATTTAATTGCAACGGAATTAGACTTTAATGGAAAATCGATGTCATGGTATAATCGAACATACTTTTCGGTTGCATTATATTGCTTTCCAACACTGGTGGTCGCATCATTTTTCTATGCACAATTGGTTCGAACGCGCGATTCTCCATTGAGTTTGGCACTCCAGACACAGGCACGATTGAACGGCGTCAACATAGTTTGGTCAGTGGGATGTGTTGTTTTAACCATTTTTGGTTTTCGATCAGCGTACGTGTTGATGTTCCCAGCTTTTGTAACACTCATTGTAAACACAATCATCGGCCTAACAAAGTCTCAAAATACAAGTAAGTGTTTTTTTTTAATTCAAAAAGAAAACCTATTCATCGATGGATTATAAATGAAATCGTAAATTTTAGTTAGAAAATGGCTGTATATCCATTTGTGTGGACAAATATTCATTGTACTATGGGCAACACATTTTTATCATACAATTACTGCGGTTTTTATTCCAATTTCTGGGCGTGCAAGTGGCAATAAGAATCCAGACATCACTATTGGCATCATTTCATGTTTCTTTACGATATTCATCGGAAGCTACTTGGTAATTATTATTTGTATACATTTTTTTAAGTGTTGACATTTTTTATCTAATGAAGATACATTTCAACAGATTCCATTGGTTGGACTTCTTCGAAATCCGAAATCGTTTATGTTCACAGTAGCTGCATTGTTTCTGATAACGCGAATTAGTTTCATGACTCACATTGATTTTCCATATAGCGACGATGAGCAAAATCCAACGCCACAACGACACTTCATAACGGTATGATTTTTTTAAAATAAGTGTCAAAAGAGAGAGAGTGAGAGAAATTCAAATGGTCAACAATCTCTTTATTTTGATTTGCAGCATACCGTACGAAAGGTGTATGACTTGAATGGCCGTGTTCAATATACGGATTCTGGATACTGGTTCCGTGAGCTTGATCGAAATGCCGAAAAGACTATCGACAGTCTTGTTGCACCGGAAACACCTGTACGTCAAGATTTGATACCACTATGCAACGAATTGCCATTCTGTGGATTACCATCATACTCATGTCGACAATTGCATACTGGGTAATTTTTTTTTGGATTTTATTCGTTTCAAGTAATTTTATATGCTCATTTAAATGAAAATATTTCTAGTGGATTTTGGTTGCCGGGACCGGCTCCAATCGTTGAGAATGAAGTTCAAGTGAATGCTACTAAACCACTGAAAATATCCGATAATAAATGGCAACTGAGACTGACGATGAATGGTAAATGAAGATGGTCATTTGCCTCTAAAACACATGACTAATCTAACGTTGCCGTTTATACTTTTAGGAAGCTATTTATATTCATTACAAATCCGCCCCAAGTTGGGTGTAAAATTATTGAAATGGAACTTATTTGACTTCATACCAGAAGAGAATGAATTCAACGGTGATCGTGGATACTTTGCAATGGTTACTCATGGATTAGAAGCACCTCCATTGGAACTACATATGGAGTTTGATGTAATTTTTGTTTTGTTCTATTTCTTTGTTCTTAAGCAAATGCAAAATTGTTTTCATTTACTTACAGACTAAAACGGGACACATCGGTCCATTGGTTGATGTTACAATTGTAACTTTCCATTGGGAGTTTAAGCCGACACCTGCTTTTGCTAATTTGCTCGCACGTGTCCCGAAGTGGGCGTTCCCAGTCCCATCAATTGCATCATTACAAGCACACGTCTTTTAAAACAAGCAATATTCAATTAAAAAATAAAATAAAAAAATATTCGTTGGCTGGAGCTTAAATAAATAGAACAAAAACCGATCAAATATTAGAATCATAAATAATTTTGGTGATTTGTTTGCAATTACTCAAATAAAAATAATTTTTTTTAGATTTAATGCTAATCCAGGGGTCAATCTCAGTTTTAATCCAATTTTGTTGACATGTTTCTTTTTATGAATAAAAAAAAAATCTTCATGGAAATCTAAGATTCTTTTGTGTTTTTTATGCGCGTTATAAACAACAGTTTAGAGAACAATCTGGAGAACTATAAAATTGTGGGAAAAAATTAAACGAAATCGACGTTTTCAGGGCCAAAATATTTGAATGGACTCAGAAAATTATTAGCTAATAAATTTTTCTTTTTACTAACTATTCTATAAATATAAAAGCGAAAGTATATGTGTGTGTTGGTTCCAGGTTGGCGCCCAAACGCCTCAACCGATCCGAATAAAAATTGTACCGTTGAAAAGGTCTCGGCTCAGCGGTGAACATAGGCATCATCATGGTCGGCCATGATATTTCTCAGAGCCTCAGCATAATTTGAGTTTTTATAGTGGAAATCAACAATATTTTCAAATTATATGTAGTATTTGTAAAAAAAAAAACTAATGTAAAATACAAACAAAATCATTGTTCAGTTCATCAATGTTTATTTCGATTTTTTGTTCACAATTATTACAGATTTATATTCAAATAAACATAAAAATGATAAAAAATAAAATACAAGTTAAAAAAGAAGAAAATTCAAACGCAATATTTGTGCATTTACCTTCTGTATGCACATTTATAAAATACAAATCTGATAATAATATAATGAATTGAATTATTTGCAAATATGAATAAAAAATATTGGTGCAAATATGTGTTTTCAAGTAATATAAAAATGTGTCATTTAATTTCGTTCAAAATCTGAATTGAAGTAAATAAACAAAAAAAAAACAGAATAAAATGCTAATTACAAATGTGAGTAATATTGATTGCTCAGTGTCAATTGAAACATAGGCTTTGTGTGTTCATAATAAATTTTCCACAAAAATGTCACGATAAATATATTAGGCGCAGAAATTCATGTGTTTTTTTAATAAAAAATTCATAAATCTCATGTTCAACGAACGTATACACACCATTGGTGATGGATACATTTGAAACTAAAAAAAAACTTGGTTAAAATGTCGCTATAATTTCCGACAAATGTGTGAAAACAATGTGAATGCAGTAGTACGAAACAATCGCATCACTTGTTTACACGATGTAAAGTTATTTTTTTTTTACCATATCATTTTACCTCTCTAACAACTAATAATATTTAATTATTTTTCTTCAATTAAATATAATTCTTTCATTGTCAATAGATTTGCATTCCAAATATTTAATTCATTCGACACATTTTTTTTCTCTATAAATATTATTAACGGTAGTGCAAACATAATTTGCATTCTGTCATGCAAACTATCATAAGACCAACCATCTTCATTGTCTTTGTGATTTGAAACAAACAAAATATAATATACATGTATACGAATTTTTTTTTTATTATTTTCAAATCGTTGAATATCTTTTTGAATTTTTTTTCTAGTTTGTTTCATGTGAATGATCTTCTAGAGAGACACGTGTCTTATTAAGTCCGACGATTTGGCAAAAATGGCTATTAATATGTATTTACTATTTTTTTTTATTAGTTTCAATTCATGGTTTGTGGAGTTTGTAATAATTAGTTCGGGGAATTTAATGGGATGTACTTTGTGCGAAGATAAAATACCAAAAGACATCGACTAAATAAGAACGGTGCCTCTCTGAATTTCCTAATTTCATGTCATTACCCTTTTAAATATATATTTGGCAATATTTATATTATTTTTATAATATCAATTCAATATTTATTACGAAATGAGCTGACAAAGAGCTCAATAGCTGCTGCAAATTTTCTGGCTGTATGGACGTTCAATACGCATCGAATTATTACTTGTGTGCCGCATTAAATTCCTTAAAAATTTCCTCTCTCGCTCCTTCGTCTATTATAATTCTTTCGTTCATTATTTTTTTTTCGTTTTGTTCTTCGTTAATACGTGAATTTGTATTAAATGCTGAATTGAGGGAATGCATGTTCATTGTTTATCGCTAATATTTTTGTCTTTTTGTTGTTGTTAAAACATTGAAAAAAGTTCGATATAAAAATTAATCGATTATCATCGTATTCGTTGCAATACTGTTCATTTACTATGTTTGTCTTGTAAAATAAAGCAAATAAATAAATTTGTTGGGACTCTTCACACAGTGTTTTTTTTTGTCATTTTCGTTTTCATTTCAATCGAATCGGTGTAAAATCCAATATCCTATCCTAATTTAACTGTATAATAGTATGTAAAAAAAGAAGAGGAAAAAATACTCAGAATTTCTTGTTTATGTTTACGCTACTTTTTCTTTCTGTCACAATACTAAAAAAAATCATTAATTCGCAAATGGATGAAATAAAGAATTTAATTAACTCCTCTTATGGTGTTAAATGTTTCAGACAATCTACTCTATGTTAAGCAAAAAAATGAATTTGCTTTTTGAATATGCTTTAATTTCACCATCTTGTGAATATACTCTTACGCCAAAATCTAATAATACCAGTTCGGACAAAAAAAAAGGTAATGTGATCAACTTCTGTTTCATGATTGTATTCGTTTCATTGAAATGAGCAAAATTGCTAGAAGAGATTTCCTTCTGTCTACTCTTAATCGATTGCATTTCTATTAAATATTTGATAAATTATTTCAGTGTATGAACAAAAATTGTTCAATTGAAAAAAAAAAATGATAAATTTTGGCAATGCTTACAGATTCATTCTTAACATAAGATTTATTTCACATCATTTATCGATTATGAATTATGAACGGAATATATCCTTTGCGTGAAGAGGGAAAATTAAATGTCTTTTTTTCTTGGTAAAAAAAGAGGTAAAATAGAAAACGGATTGGAGGTTGAGGAAGAAAACGCTCATGTTAAAATGTAACAGCTTAAACTGCATCGTTTGGACTCTGGAATTCGGAGAGGGCATGGATTGGATTTTGCACTTTTTTCTGAGATCCTTTCCTTACTTTGGCTCGAACCTCTTCCGGTTTTTCTGGGCGTACAAGTGGCTTCTTTTCGGGCGCTTTCATTTTCCATACAACGATCGGCGACTAAATGGTGAATGGGAAAAAAGAAGAATTTTATCAGGTGACATTTTAGTTTAAAAAAAAAAATAACACTCAAAATTGAAAAGAAAAAGAAAACTTTTTCAATCATTTTGTATATTAATAATGTTGTGTCATATGTATTCGTGACATATGAAGATACAATGAAGTTATGTTAGTCAAATGTTTATAGAAAGGATGAGAGAAACGAAATCGAAACAAAACTATAAGCAGAAATGTTTGATTGATTGATTGATTGATTTTTTTTGCATGAAATCCACAAGAGATGAGATAAATCATGATTTGTGCAAGAGAAAAAAATGCAACATGAATGTGAGGCTATGAATTGAATGATGATTGGCCAATCGGAGATCTGCTTAAATGTTCAATCAGTTCCATTTAAATCACGGTATTTATGCTTTTTGATGTGATTTGTTTTATGTGTCCAAAGTAAAATGACGGCCTAAGAAGAAAACAATAACATACAGAATATTCTGCAAAAA